TCCACACCTTCCCGAGCTTAGACTGCAGTAGTTGTAGTAACGTTTCGAATTTCATAGACCTTCTATATAAGTGACGATGTGCATAAATATAAATTGGAACATTTTTGCAAAACCGGAAGTGCCACAGTTCAACATGTGCAAAAAGTCGAAAATCGGCTGTAGAAGGCGCATTTTTGCATCGATTTTCTTCGGGTTTTCATTTTTACAATCTACATGTAATTTCTGACCTGATAGCACTTGAAAAATTACGAAATTCGAAAATTCGTCGCTCACTTTTTTCGATCAAATTTTTCGATTTTTTTGCAACTTTTTTGCTTTTGCATCGATTGATCTGAAATTTTAAATGCAAAGAGACTTCACTAATGTTAATAATATGATACAGTCAAATTTTGTACGTCATTTCCGATTTTCAACAGGAAAGCGACTGAACTTTAAATCTACTTCCGGTTGAATAACTTCCGGTGTAATTTATGTAGGTCAACAAAATTTGGCTGATCTTTGGCAAATAAAATTTTATGGCCGATTTTAAAATAAAATCCAGACCGGAAGTGATACTTTGGCCGCCATATTGAAAAAACACACTTTTGTAAAACTCAAAATGGGGCCTCAGGGTAAAAGTTGATATGCTCAAATTTGATGTGAATGTATTCTGCAATCGATTGCGCAAAAAACATTGGGAGCCGAATTTTGAATTTCGCTTTTGCTTTTTTGCAACTTCCGGTTGAAATTTTTTAAAGCTTTAAACGATCACACCATGTGACCTTGACCTTTGATGACCTTGGCCTTCATAGGGTCAAAGGTCATTGACCTTGGCTATCATTTGATACTTTGACCTTTGACCTCCGACATTTGCAAAACAAAGCAGTGCGTTCGAAGAACACACTGCAAAAAAAAAAAAAAGAATGGACATTTCGATAACAAACTGCTAAAAGCTAAAAGCAATTGCTAAAAGCAAAGTCCCACAAAAATCTGCAAACATATAGACTGTAAATGTCCTTTTATAGAACCCTTACGAACTATGCTACAAACTGCTTGGTTGTCTGTAAACCATTTAACTTTCTTGTTAGCTAGAATATGTTTTAGAGAAAATAAAACTCTCTGGACAGCAGACAATTCCCTCCAAGTCGATGATTGTAAAACTTCAAAACTATCCCACACTCCATGTGAAACCCCGTCTATAGTATTGATTTCGTATCCTCCAAATCCAGCCCCACTGGCATCACTGTAAACAATCCTAGAACAAGACACATCCTTACTGAAAACCTTATTGATGTTAATTCTATGTAAATTACTTTGCCAAAAGGATAACTGTTTCATACTCTCAAATGAAAGCTTAATATATGAATTCCACGAAAACGCGGTTAAAACGTCCATACTCAAGTATCTCGTCATGATTTGAGAAACACTATTACCACACTCATAGAAATGATTTGCCCAATACAACTGGCTAATTTCCTAACATGCACTCGCCTAGATTTTTTCAACGAGGATGTTATTACATCAATAGAAATAATAGTTTTAGAAATCCTTCTTTCGGGAATTCTAATGCAACCATCAAAAGTATTGAAAATTACACCAAGAAATTCTAATTCTTGCGACGGAACCCATAATGATTTTTCCGCCTTAAGCTGCGTTTACCGAACACGCGGTATGCGTATTGCGGGACGCGGCAACGGGATGCGGTATGCGAAATGCGGTAAATATACCGCACTTCTATTTATCGGAAGGCGTTAACGTGGCGGTATCACTTCTAGTTTCATAAGCATGGCGCCCATCTGGTCCGTTCCCTCTCAAACACGATGCAACCGAATCCAGCGGGATGTAATCATCGCCGTTGGGGCCTATATGTGATAGCAAGGAAGAGACGTTCTAGACGATTTGTATGTTTGATTGGTGTTTATAACCAGTACATCACAATGGTGAAAGGCAAGAGATTTCCAACGAATGTATCACTGCTTTGTTGCAGATGTAGGCCTACAATCACTGAGCCACCGAGGCCCATTAACAGTGTGAGCGATAGAATCATTACAATTCTCTGACTGAGGCTTGATTTGAGCCCGAGCCTAGTATGTCGGTACAGCTGAAGACGTGCGCTACGCGGCCACGACCGGCTCCAAACTTAAAAATGAAGCTCACCATCTAGTCCTACCACTTTCAACGTCTTTGCTATGCTCTTCCAGGCATTACTCATCTTCTGTGCATCCATATGACTGTCGTCCTTGGTATCGTAGATGAAAGGACGTTCCCTGATGAGTCCGACCAAGCGTTCGATTACATCGTCCGGAAGTTGTTTTCCTCTAGGCATTTTGACTTATGGGCGCAACTTCACACGCAGGAATGCATGGAAACTATAAAACAAAGCTCAGATAATAGCTACACGTGGACTTAAACCGCCACGGTATATTATACTGCGCGGAAAGATCGCTACTCCGACCGATCGGTTTTACCGCGTACCGCGTGCCGCGATTGACTCGCATAACGCATACCGCGGTCCGGTAAACGGATTAAGGAAAATGGCTTGGAGCGAAAAAATGTATATACCGCATTCCGTTGCCGCGTCCCGCGATACGCATACCGCGTGTTCGGTAAACTCACCTTTAGGAACGAATCCCGATTCAATCAAATCGTCTTTAATACTGATTGCCATGTCTTGACATTCCTCAAAACTCTTTGCACAACCAAACCCATCATCTAAAAACATCAATATCCTTTTGGCCTCAGACCTCCATTTAGCTACTAAAGGTTTTGTTAACTTAGTAAATATGTATGGAGCAGAAGTAAGTCCAAAAGGAAGCACTAAAAACTTAAAAAACTGAATTACCGAATTCATCATGCCACGAAAACCCCAAATAATCTGTATGCTGACCATATATATCTATAAAGTGATATGCAGAATGTATATCAAATTTAAACATGTAATAACCTTCAAGAACGTAATTCAAAGCGATTCGAATATCTTCATACTTAACAGACTGTTTCCAAATATGTTTATTCACTTCCCTTAAATCTAATATGAGCCTTTTCTTGCCACTGGTTTGTACAGAAACCGTTAGTGGATTCACTACTTCTAGAACGCTAAGACATCTTTGAATCAAACCTCTTACCAATAAATCATCAATAGCTTTACTGACAAATTCAGACTCTCTTAATGCAGACAAATTATTTTTAGAAAAACTCTTCACAGGAGTCGAAATAAACAAAATTTTATAACCAGACCTAATGACATCTAAAATAAAATTATTAGCACCAATATTTTTCTAAAAATTAAAGTTTTGTTTCAGACGTCCTTTTACTAAAATTTGTTTTTGGCTTTGTTTATATTCAAAGTAATCATTAGTAAATAATTCATTTAACTAGTTTAAATACTCATCTTTTATAAAATCTTTATCTTGATGAACTTGTTGATGATTGACTCTGCTGTGTTGCTGAGATTTTGGTGTAAGAGGGACAATCCCTTCTGTAGTGTCCTTCAGCGACACACTTACTCTAACCAAACATTTGGGCGATACTTCTCCCATGGGAAATTAATTTTCGTCTAATTCATCAAACTCAAACGACAAATAATTATATTTTCCTGCTTATAAATCCATCTATTACACGAATAAAATTATTCATTATTTTTTTACTGTGAGATAATACGAATAACCCCAAAATGACTAGTCGTGTAGATTTAGGAGGTGTACAGTCAAATTCTTTATGACTCATTTACTTTAGGATAGCTTTTGACATGTGAATCGAAGTTGGCTTTTAAAGTTGCTTCATAGATGTCTCGATGTTGTTATATCCTTCTGAATAGATTTACCATATAAGGAATTACCTAATAATTTCATGCAATACTACCCACAATATTACCTTCTCGTTTATATTTATTTCTTAGATCTCTCAAAATTAAAATATAATCTCTATATGGAAGAAACGTCGCATATGCTTTCAATATTTCAGGATGAATGGCGGCCTGAGGGGGTGTCCACGTGAAATTAGGAATAAACATTGTTTTAGCATCACGGGGGTGTGGGGGTGGTTTCGAAAAGAAAACAATATGTGCAGCTAAGATTTCGTTGAAACCGTTTTCAAGCAAAAACCGGGGGTGTCCCCAATACATATACTTCTATGAAGACCCCGATCGTTTCTTTGCTCAATAGTTGAATATTTATTAAATATATAAACTAGAAGCACATTTCTTCATTAAATTAACCCATTTAAAAACAGAATGAGTTTTATTCTAAAACACGAACAACACAAATTCGAAGGAGATGGTTTCTTTTCAGCTCTATCATCTCGCATCCCAAAAGTAGTCAACTTTGTCTCAAACAATAAATCCCTTATTTCCTCAAAAGCCCAAGCTCTTGGATCTGTTGCAAAAGCAGCAGTAAATTTAAGCGATGCAGTGAAAAGATATAACGAGTTGAAAGAATTACAACATATAAGAGAAACGCGAAATAAAAGACTAGAAAATAAAAAAGGCAATGGTTTTAAAATTATAGGACAAAAATCTCAACTGATTAATGGGAGGTAACACTGGTTTTTGTTTACGTTATTGATTTAATAATAGGCTGAATATAACCCACACTATAAATTACCTTTAACGCCTGGTAACAATCAGTCGTCCAGACTATTGTTTACTGGATATACGTCACTAAGTAACAGATGGTTATATTAACATATAACATTTCCGCCCATGCAACGTCAGCATACACAGTCTAATCTCTCAACTATTAACACTGTCTCAATGTTGTTACGCTGGAAGATTAGGAATTTAATCATGCAAAATCAAGGTATGTTCTTTGTTTAATTTAATCATAAGACGACAGGGTGGAATTAAGATTATTTGTTGTTTTTCAAAATATCAATTTTTTTGTTTTTATTCTAGACACAAGTTTAATAGATGCCAACATTGCTTATCACGAAGAATATTTAAACCATTACAGACAATTGAAGGATATATTGTTAAGAGGCCAAGAATTTTCATATAGAAAGATTTGAAGAGCTTAGTAAAAAGCCTAAAAATCTAACATTTAGTGAAAATCTTACTCACAATGAGGGTTTGTTTAAAAAAACTTAAAGCCCATCTACATGATATAGAAATTCCCATAACAATAGAACCATATGACCATAGAAAAACTGGGGATGAAGCTGTCAAAAATATTGTGATCAACTGCGATCGATTTTTAAAACAAGCCGCCTCCCGCTCCATTAAAGAATATGTTACTTTTGGATTATGGTTACAGAAATTATATATCTTCGAATCAATTATGAAAAATGAGTTAACAATATCAGTAAGTTGGAGTAGAAAATTACGTAAACTTGCCAAACTCTGTGACAAATATCCGAGGTTTCAAAATTTAACAATTTCAATTTCAAAATTATTGACGCAGATTTTAAAAATAGAACGTGAATTAGAAAGAACAAGTGATGAAGATCAAGCGTTTTGGAAAAAGGATATGATTCATGTGATGTATATCTACCGATTCTCTAGGAGCGGTCATGACCTTGAACTATGTATACTGATTGTGTAAGAGGGGAACTATGTTTACCGATTCTCTAGGAGCGGTCGTGAGGTGAACATTACCAATCCTAGTAGAAGTGTATATCAATATACATGTAATTGTTTATGTTTTAAATTTTCTGTAATAAAAATGTGTAATTAATTTTGTAAACAATGTATTTATTAAAACCTAAAACTTACTTTGGTTTTCATATTCTTCCTGGATTTCCATGGGGGTAAATGGTTTCAAATAATAGGGTAAAACCTATCTTTAAAAATAGAAGAAAAAAATCATAGATTAGATCTGATCTTTGAATTATATGATCCAATTCGTTATTCGTTTGATAAGAAAAAAGAGGTTAACATTATCATCAAAGATGAAACTCCTAATCAGAATCAACCCCACAAACCAACACAACGTTAGAAAACAATTTCTTCCCATCTTTATTTACTGAAGTGGTTTTGGAAGTTTAAATCCTATAGAAACCATTAAAAACCCCGGAGAATTTGAAACAATGTTGAAAACAGTTCTATATCCCAAAAACTATGATTCTGTTTCCGGATGGATACCCGATGTTGGCGATGGAAGTGTTTTAAAAGAACCGGTAAGAAATGTTCCAAATGATGCAAATGAAGATTGAATGAGAGCTATTGCTCGAAACACAATAGAAAGAGTAGCTAGGGCAGTAAATTATGGATTCGACAAACGAGTAAATCAATATAACAATACCGTCGATAATAATAGTTGGGGTAATTACGTAAATTGGAAGTTATATCCTTGATTTGGTTTGTTGGAACGTAGAAAAGTTTCCATAGGGTTACCTTATAAAATTCATCTACAAAGAGAAATCAATGATAATAAGATATTCTTTGGAGAGAATGCTTCAGATGCAAAATTAGAATTAACGAATCTCCAACTTTACATACCGGTAATAACACCATCAATTTAAGTAGAAACGAGAATATTCAACTCATTAACTAAAGATATTGAAATAGCCTTTCTTCGTCGTAACACAAAAGGTAGCATGACTTTAACTGGAGAATCCACCACGTGGCCAATCACTAACACTATTAAACCAGTAAGATATTTAATGGTTGGTTTCAAGACTTTACCAGATTCTCAAACGAATAACAATAATATCTTTAGAGTAGCAATGAACCAAGCTCAAGCCTATAATCCGTAAAGTTCAAGTAAGATTAAACAATGATAATTATCCTAACCAACCTTTAACAAGTAATCCATCCTCAAAGGATTATAATGAATTGTATAGAAACTATAAAAATATGTGTGAAATATTTGGAAATTTACCTCAGTTTGAATATGTAGATTTTGCAATTAATCACCCAATCTTCTGTTTTGATCTATCAGCTTATCAAGAAGATCTTTTCAAAACAGGGGTGAATATAAATATTCATATTAAAAAACACAAGGAGATGTAACCGGTTATTGTTTATTATTGGAAGAAGCAAAACATTTAATTAAAATATCCGACAGACGGATGATTCGTATAGAATAATCATTTACATTACATTCTTAAAAATGAAGCCAGAAACTTTAGTAAAAAGAATAATAGAAGCTATCGAAACGGAATCCCCAACTACAATAACTTACAAAGGTAAAAAGATCAAAATATCTAAAAAAAACCAAACTTATCAATAGATATAAACATTTTAAAGTCCGTGATGATATAGATTTGGAAATAATTGACGCGAAAGCAAAAGACGGTGGATTTTTACCTTTCCTACCTTTTATATTTGCTGGTCTGGCCGCAGCAGGAGCTACTGCTGGTGGAGCGGCTGGGATAACGCAAGCCATCAACGCCAAGAAAGCAGCTGATGCTGAAAAGTGAAAAACGTAGACATAATATGGAAATGGAAAAGATAGCACAAGGTTCAGGGGTAGCAGATATATTAGGGAAAGTTAAAGAATTTGCAAATCGATTTAGTGAAGAAAACTATTAAAGAGGGGTTAAGTAATCTAATAGATAAAATCGACACCGGAGAAATGAAGGTCAAACATAAGGGGAATGCCATAGATTTTAAAAACATACGTTCTGGAGAGGAAATCTTTCTTTCAAAGTATAAAGGAGATGGAGTAATTTTTGGAACAAAATATAGAATAAAAATGGGAAAGAAATTTAATCATTTAGAAATATTTCCTAGTAACCCAATGCTTATGTGTATTTGTGGAAGCTCAGGTTCTGGGAAAACTTATTTGACATTTAACATGTTGACAACACCAAAACTTTTAGATTTCGATTCATTATATATCTACACAACAACACCAGAGCAATCATATTATCAATTCCCCAAAGCTTTAGAATATATACCAAAGAAAGACGTTCAAGACATATTTCAATATTATGAAGACAATGAAGAGATAGAAATCAAAAGATATCTTAGATACATATATAAAAGAAAAGAATCCATCTTTCAATCCAACAGACATAAAAGTTTTTCTTTTTCAAAAATGTTAATGATTTAGATTTGTCTAAAATTTTTAGTGAGCGAAAGAACTTAATAGTGTTTGACGACTGTGTAGCACAAAGAAATCAAGCTGTTCAACAAGAATTCTTCACGAAAGGAAGACATCACAACTGTCACTGTATTTACCAATCCCAATCTTTCTACAGAATGGGTGCAATATTCATTAGAAAAAATGCAAATTGTTTTTTATTATTTGAATTAAACGACAAAGATTTTTCTCAAATCATTCAGTCGATAAATCACGGAATGGACAGGGATACATTTAAAAAGGATTGTAAATCACAATGGAGAAACCAAGTTGATCATGGATATACATTCGTTAATACTAGAAACCCTGCGGGTGAAAGAGTTATAACAGATATATGTTAATTTCATTTCTTCAAAAATGGGTGATTGGAATAATATTATAAAAAGAAACAGACAATATATCAAAGCTAAGAATAAAATAAAGACCCAAGCTAAAAATAACAGATTACAACAACTTGGATTAACAGAAGATCTACAAACTCTATTTCAACCAATTTTAAAAAGTCAAGAAGATATTAAAAAGAAATAAGCTTTAGAATATAAACCCATGCCTCATATAGAACATTCACCTCATAAAGATCACCCTGAACCGATTGAATATGGTGGTATTATAATTTGGACATTAGATGATATAAATCGTCTTTTTTCAAACCCCGACCTAGATTTACCAAAGAGCATTACACCAATTGTTGATAATGAAGGGTTATGGTTTAATGGATTCAGAATACGATTTAGTGGAAATTCACCAATATTCAAAATCGATACAAAAGACTTTTTATTTACATTAACAGAAGGATAAATAGATTTAATGAATGGCGGGGATGTTGATATTGCCGATTACAAGGATTTAGTAGAATACTCAAAATTTCCACATACGATAAGAAAGAAGGGACCCGAAACAAAAAGATTAAAAGAAGTTGATCAATATATAAGAGCTATTAATCAAGATGATGAATATGCTGAAGACAATCCAATCATACAAGAAATAGACGAAGCAGATGATACTTCAATCATACAACAAATAGACGAATTGGAAGAGGAGATAGCTAGAGAAAAAAGTGGACAAGTTATAACGTTTTGATCCGATAATAACGAGGAACTACTTAATGGATTAGAAATAATATTAGCAGCAATGAAAGAAGGTCATCAATCAGACAGACAATATAATGAAGTAAATTGTATATTAAAAAGACTTCTAGAGAAAGGTATTATAGATAAAAATAATTATAAAAGCGTGATTGATAAAATTATCCAATAAAAATAGTCATTGAAAATGCCAAATAAAGAACAATTATTCGTTATAACCTCAATTAATTAAATCACGATTCCGTTTACACGGTATCACGCAATTTGATTGGATAACAGCGGTCATGTGAATTCGGTTTATATTTGTGTAAACGGAATGTAAATATAAGCTCCTCCCCTTAACGGACTATTTTTATCATTGATTGACGTAGCCACGACACAGCCTTGATATCTTTCCTTCGAACGTCACCAGAGCCGAAATCTACACTTCACTAAATGATTACGTTATTTTCCAAATTCCCTCGAATGTGCATACTCTAAATATCAACAAAATCATGATTTTTGAACTTATTTCGGGCCTTGGTTTTCAATAATTGAACTTTAAATGTGGCCGCTCCGTCAACTTTCAAGCAGTAGACAGTAGACTATAAATAGGCGACCTACTTATTGCTGATTGGCTGTTCTCTACGACATCTCTATTGTTAGTATCAATTCATTATGGTTATGTTAAAATTTTAGGTATTTATGCGTCAATTTTGTGCCCTAGTTTGTTGCTATTTTAGATAAATATTTAAACACGTATTCGAGTTGATTTAATTATAAGGAATGACCTGAACATCCTACGCGGCTTTATACAGTGTACACAGGTTTTTTCTGTTTATACATCGATAAACTGAAAAAATGTTCAGGTCATTCCTTAAATAAATCAGACATTAAATTGTCTCTAGATTATGAGTACGAACTCGATCGCAATGAAGAATATGAATTGGGATTAAAATATTTCTCTGTTTACAATTCCATTAGAAATATCAACGAAAATAATAACCAAATGAAAATATCAACAGATAACGGAGCTACATTCAAAACCAAAAGTTTACTACCAGGAAGCTATAAATATGTTGCCATAAACGGATATCTATCTGAATATGGAGGAAGTGTCAATGGTAAAAACAATATTGAATTCGAAGGTAATTTGAATCTGAACAAAATAAATTTATATTGAGAAATAATAGTCAAGTTCAACGTAGAAAATTCTTTGAATACTTTATTAGGATTTGATAAACAAATATACACACAATCCAGTTTAGCGCCACATAAAGCTAATATCGAGAATGATATCAACGTCATTAATATTCACTGTAATTTAATAAACGGTGGATTTTTCAATAAACACAAACGTTAGATTATTTACAGTATTCCAACATTCACTGTACCGATTGGATATAGAATTATAGAGAAACCATTTCAAACAACATATTTACCACTTTCATCAAAAGTATACTCATTTTTATCACTATAAGGATACATAATTCCTTCACTGTTTGGTGCTTTTCTCTTTACAAGATTCAAATAACTTCTGAAAACTTTCTTTTGTTTATCATCATCCTTTGGACTTATTCTGTCGAACAGTTTTGGGAATTCTTTGAAATTCTCAACAACCACCGTCCTTCTATTAAAATAACCGCAAACGTGAGTGACAAAAGCATAGACTTTCTCGATACCACAGTCTTTAAGGGAGATTCCATAGCAGAAACAAATAAACTGGATATTAAAGTGTATTTCAAAGAAACTGATACTCATCAACTCTTGCACAAGAGCTCCTTTCACCCAAAACATACCTTTTCTGGTATAATTAAGTCACAAGTTTTACGATTTCGTCGAATTTGTACAAGATCTTCTGATTTCAACCAAGCCTGTACGATTGTTTTCTCAAAACTGAAAGAGCGTGGGTACTCTAAACGATTTTTACGAAACATAAAAAATTCCACCTTAGCACAGATAGCAGCTAAAAACAGACTTTATGCCGAAGTACCTCTAGGTTTAAGAAGTGCTTCATGTTTGTCCAGTAGATGCAAAACATGTCCCTTTATATCAGAAATTATTTTGTAAGCAACTCTACGAATAAAAGGTACCCGATCCAGGAACATCTCACATGTGAACATTCGAATGTAATATATTTAATTTCATGCAAGAAATGCCCCAAACAATATGTAGGAGAAACTAAGAATAATTTACGAACTCGCTTTAATGCTCATAGGTCAGACATCAAATTAAAGAAAGACAAGCCTGTTTCTTATCATTTCAACCTCGACGACCATTCAATAGACGATCTCACCCTAATCCCAATTGAGCGTATAGAAATTGACTAGCCCGAAGATGAAACTACCAAATTCCGTCAATCTAGGGAGGCCCATTGGATTGAGACATTGAATACAGCAAGACCTATAGGACTAAATATTCATCATAATGTAGGCATAGCACCCTTTGTTGTCCCGTTTAATACAACCAGCAATCGAGCAAGCAAAATAGTTCATGCCCACTATAAGAGCCTTCAAGAGAAATTCCCCCATGTCTATAAGCAGAAAATGATAGTTGCATATTCAAAAAATAAGAACTTAAATGATAATATTGTTCATAGTAAACTAAAAACAATCAGTACATAACAGATACTATACTTCTCGCCCATCGGGCGAGTTATTTTTTCTAATTTCAGATCAGAATAAGAACAGAAGAAAACCCAATATCAAGACCCTTAATCCTAATTTCTAAATAAAGTGTCTGCTCCACCCTAGGCCTGTACATTTGGGAGAATCAAACCCTCCCTTCCCCGAAACCTTAAACGTTTTCTTTTCTTTTAAAACACCATCAGAAGTTAGAATGATATTGTATTTAACTTTCGGCGCTAAATATAAACCAAATATGATTCCACCATCACCGTAATCATTCTTGCGTTTACAATAATCATTTTTAGATACCAACCCAGCTTGATTTAATTTATCCCAATTACTAGATAAAATGTATAAACTATCAGTATCGGTATAGTATATTTCAGGTGTATAAAATCCATTTATTACATGAATGAAATTATTCATTATTTTTTTACTGTGAGATAAAGCGAATGATCCCAAATAACTAGATGTTAGTCGAGTAGATTTAGGAGGTATAAATTCTTTTTCTTCTTCATTTATCTCAACGATATATTGAGTCTCATTTACTTTAGGATAGCTTTTGAATCGAAGTTGGCTTTTAAAGTTGTTTCACCCCATTGATGTCTCGATGTAGTTATATCCTTCTGGATAGATTTACCATACAAGGAAGTACCTAATAATTGCATGCAATTACTACCCACGATCTTACCTTCTCGTTTATATTTATTTCTAAGATCTCTCAAAATTAAAATATAATCTCTATATGGTGGAGTTTTCTTTTCTTCGTACACTATATCATCTAAAATTCTAATAATTTGTCCACGGCTTTAACTATTTCTTGAATATCGACCGATGTTAAAACATCTGAACAGATACCATTTCTAAACCTGATTTTAGTACCAGTTTCCTTATTACCTTCTTTGTTCGTAAAAGTAATTTTATCTTTAGCTGGTATGGGTTGGAAGAACATGTTAGTAGGATATTCAAACCAGACTTTTAAAATAGCCGTTCTAGGTATGAATTTCTGCTCATTAAAGAGCTTGACAAATTCTTCTTCTTCCTCAGTTTATGGTCTAAATTTCTGCTCATTAAAGAGCCTAACAAATTCTTTATTTTCTTCTGGTAGAGACGGTCTTCCACTTTCCGCTTTAGGATATTGTCTAAATCTGACATGGCGGAAGCGTATAAACCGTTGGCATCGAACGCCATTAGTTTAGTACATTTTATCTTTTTTAAGTTTTGAATTAACTTCCGTTTTATCTTTTTTACTTTTACTATATTCTTTAAGAGAATCAATTATACATCGTGTTTAACTAAACTCCTTTAATACATTACAAATTTCATCCATTTTTATTCGTTTCAAATGATTTTCTGTTAGCAGAAACTCTTCCTCCTTTAATGGATTGTCTGATAAAATATCTTCTAAAAGGGTCTGTATGTGAGTAAACTTTTTCTATTTTTTCTTTTTCAGTGTTTTGGAACCATTCTAGTAGTTTCATACCATTCTTCTTCTACCATTTCTTTATGGTAATGATACAAATAATACCAACCCTTTAAAGATAAAGAAGGAGCCGTTAGATTATTGGAAATGTTCTGGAATACAACTTCTTTCATAACTTTGTTAACTTCGTGAAACTCGTATTACCGCATTAACATCTCTACAAGTTC